GCCGCTGGTGCGCCTGGAGCGGCCGGTGGGTAAGAATGAGCCTATTGCCAGGCCCCCTTTGTGCGCCCCAGGGACTGGCCCCTCCCTTGCTGCCGAGCTGCGCTCCAGCCCCCGCTCCGCCTGCCGCGGGCCGAAAGTCTGAGCCCGTTGCTGGGGGCAGGGCCGGCCCTGGACGCGACAGACCCAGCAATGGTACCGGAGACAGCAGAGAGCCGGGGGGCCTGCCTGGCTCCCGGGGCCCTGCTGCCATGGTCCCCTCCACGCCCCCTCCCTCCTCTGCTCTGCCCTGCCTCCAGGATTGCAGCCGGGGTGGCTCTGGGGTGGGAGTCACAGAGGGCACCTTGGCCTGGGCCTGTGGTCTAGCAGCTAGCGTGCTGGGCTAAGCTGCAGGGGAGCTGGGTTCTAGTCCCAGCCCTGCCCAATTCCCCTTCACCCCCAACCCTGGGGGGAAGACAGCATCTCCCACTGAGCACGTGCAGCACCTAGCACAATGGGGCTGCTGGGCGCCAGCATAACAGGGCCAAGTGTTTTGGGAGAGGAGCTGGCAGTGGTGTCTCCAGCCCTGCTCTCCGCCCAGCCCAGCCCTGCCCTGCCGGGGGGGGGAGTGGTCCCCAAATGTTCCCCAGGAACAAGGCTTTGTCTTGCTGGCAGCAATGAAGTGTCCCCAACCAGGCCAGGGGTTTTAGCTCCCTGCCTCCCATTACAGTGCCCCTGGGCAGCACAGCCTAGTGGTGAGGGCCCTGGCTGTAGATCTGGGGTCAGGCCCTTCTCACCCAATCCGACCTCCTGTGTAACAGGCCGCAGCCCTTGTGCGGGAGGCATGGTGCCTAGACTCCCGGGGCTGCCTTTGGGGCGGTGGCTCCGCCACTCACCCCCCCTTCCTGTTAAAAGCTCCTCTGAATAGCTGGTTTCCGTTCCCCCCACCAGCCCTTGCTGTGCCCAGGCCTCTAGCAGGAAACTCCTCCCCGGTGGCCCCCTGGGAGGTGGGAGCAAGTCGCCTCTTCACCTCTCTCCTGCAGAACTTAACCCACCTGGCAGTCAGGCCAGGCTGCCCCCGCCCCCATGCCAAGCTTCACCTGCCCCACTTGTTGGGGGGGCACTTGGTGCAGCCCCTGGGGATGGCTGGAGGAAAAGGCCCAGCCAGGTGCTCCGTGCTAAAGCCAAGTGACAGCGCCTGGCTAGTCGGGGACACACGGGCACTAGCACACACGGTGCCCCCCAGCACCCCATTTCTGTGGGGCAGCACAGACCTGCCCACGCCTGCCCCCCCCTCCCAGCGCAGGGGCCCCCCAGCGCAGGGGCCCTGGCTTCATGTGCTCTGCGGGGGCAGGGCGCCGGCTGGGCGTAACGTGGCCCATTTCCCTGCCCGTAACAGCTGTGGGCACCTCACCAGCCCAGCCCCTTTCCCTCTGTCAGGGGGCACAGCCCCCCCGCATGCAAACCCGCCCAGGCAGGTCGGCCAGCCCCACCCTGCCCCGGGCTTGGTGGGGGGCAGCCA